ATAATTATAGCCAGATATTTCAATACCGTTCTCTCAGAAATTAACAGAACGAATAGATTAAAAAGTGGTAAGGAAATTGAAGATTAAAATAATATTATCAACCAATGAGATTCAAATTAACATTTTTGAACACTCCACTCAGGAGTGGAATGCACATTCTTTTCAGGAGCACACAGAAAACCAAGATAGAACTTATTCTGAGCATAAAACAAGTCTCAATAAATGAAAAAGCACTCAACCTCACAAAGTATATTCTCTGACCATAATGGCATTAAATTAGAAATGAGTAACAGAAAAATCTCAGGAAAATCCACAATCATTTAGAAACTAAATAATCCATTGGTCTAAGAAGTCATCAAAAAGGAAATTGAAAGACAGCATATGAAAAAGTGTGAGGTGCCACTAAAAACATGAACTTACAGCACTGCCTATATGAAAAAAGCTCTCAAATTAATGATGTCAGCATTCATCTTACAAAGGTAAGAAAAAAGAGAACAAATTAAATCCAAGGCAAGAAGAAGAAAAAAATTTAAAAAGATCAGAGTGGAAATCATTAACATTTTTAATACTTAAATACAGGTTAATATAACAATCCTGTTTTATCATGTTAGGTATAATGAATAAATTTCATTCAAGTAACCAAGCCAAAAAATTGACTTTCAACATTTAATTAAGGAGCAAGTATACAATTTAATATTTTTACCATAGAATCTAAATTTCTCATGTTTGGTTCTCTATCTAATCAGACAAATAACTGTTAAATTTTCAAATTAAACTTCCAAATCACAGACACTACTTTTAATAAAATGAGTCTAATCTTTAGCAAACTGCAAATGTTCCAAATCATATTACATCCCAGATGAATTTTGGTACCTCAGCCAACATGCAAAATGAAACATGTGGTATGCCACCACCACATTAAATCTAAACACTTTGGACACAAAGAATGATTAGGTTTTGTAATGATAAAAACACTAATTACCTTGGTTTAATCATCACATATTGTTTACAGTTACTGATATTCAGCTCTGTACCCCATAAACATATATAATAAATTATGTTTCAATTAAAAAAAACTAAACAGTTATATAGTATCTTCTGAACAAAATACTTTTAGAAAGAAATAATCAGTTTTTCTTCTGGAAATAAATTAGCTCTTGCTAACAAAACGGAATCTCCATACTGCCACTGAAAACACCGCAGACATCACACAATATAACACTGTCCCTCATATTCAAAGAGGACATTACTGATCAATAAAATTAAATAGAAAATTGACTATTTTAAAGGTTTATAAGTATTTTCCTCAGTGCCTGTCATAGAACTAACTGGATGAAAGAACAAAATGAAATAAAGCTGAGATTAATTGTTTCAAAACTAAGTTACAAGCATAACTTCTTCATACCACTGCTATGGGTCAAATGTGTCCCCCAAAAGTCCACGTATTGGAAACTTGATCTCTATTGTAACAGTGTTAAGAGGGTGGGAAATCCTATTATGGTAATTGAAAGGTGGGATCTTCAAGAGGTGATTAGATTGTGCGGACTGTGCCCTTGTGAATGGGTTTGATCCATTCATGGAGTAATGGGTGGGGTTCTGGTGACTTTATAAGGAGAGTGGGAGAGAAGGTTAGCTCTCTCTTGCTCAGCCCATTCTTGTCATGTGACACCCTGGTGGTCTCAGGACTCTGTAGAGTTCCCACCATGAAGGCAGCTTCCCACCAAGAAGAAGCTTCCCACCAAGAAGGCTCTCACCAGAAGAAGGCTTTTGGACTTCCCAGTCTCCAAAACTGCAAGAAATAAATTTCATTTCTTTATAAATCACCCAGATTCAGGTACTCTGTTATAAGCAACAGAAATGGACTAATACATCCACTAGTTTTATACTGCATTAAAATGTAGTAAATTTTATTACAAGAAATAAATACTATATGAAATGATACAAGAATAAGTTACTGAAAAGTAATACAGGTAATAAATACAGTATAAAAATCTGATGCTTACCCTGTCTCTAAGCCTTACTCCATCTGATGAATCTTAGGGTTTATCAGAGGCAGAGAAATGGGGTAAATACTAAGGATTGATTTAGTAAGGATGTGAGGCCAAATGCTGTGTCTATTCTCTGGTTACAAGCATACACACACACACACACACACACAGTGGGATGGTTTACAAAAGAAACAGAAAATAA